AGTCAGATCAGACTAATGTAAAAACGGTGAAACATCTTTTCTAACCTTCAGCGTCACTGTGTCCCATTGATTTCACTGCGTCTGTGCCGTTTGGGATCTTCCCACTAAAGAAGAAAGAAAAACAATGTTTTTCAAACAAAGAAAGAAAAGGACACTTTTTTTGACAACATGCAAAAAAATAATAATAATTAAGCAAAGTCTATGAGTAACTTATTTTGGTTGTACCACTATTTTTCATTTAAATTGTGGCCAGGGATTAAAAAAAATGACTTAATTCTACTGAGAACACTTTTTAGCAGTAGTGTTTAAAGTTTCTGCTTTGCTATGTGACCTACTTTGTGTTGCAATCAGAGATAAAGGTCCTGATATTTTCTTGATTCATTGTTCCATCAGTCTTGACCCAGTTTATAACAAACACGCTCAGACATCGAAGCTAAAACCCTCCCTGCTTTGTTGATTAGACGAGGTTCTTGTTCCATAAAATTCAGCATTTTCTCAGAAGTTCTGCTAGTTTTCTTTGTGAAGTTGTGTAAAAACCTAGAGAAGCCCTCTATAAACGCAGTCCAATTACCATTTCCCTTCATACGACAGACGTCTCAGCTGTGGTTGGATGCAGATCAAAGATTTTGTCTTTATTTGTGTCAAGTCCACAGAAATCTTTGTGTGAGCCACAGACTGAAGCTTTGCTGTTTTTGTCAAATAAAGCACTAGGTCTAATCAGACTAAATAATACATCTGTATAATTTCAGATTATGTTAGGGGTTATATTTCAGAAGAATTTTGATTTTTTTTTGCTTGCTCTTGGTGGAAGGCAGACGCGTCCTCCTCTGCTCCACCCCTCGCCCGTTCCTGCTTTGCTCTTCATCTTATGAACATTTTTCAGAGCCCATTTCGTTTGCATACCTCCCGAATTGTTTAACGATGGATTTGATCAGCTGATGTCTCAACGAAACAGATCAGTTTTTCTCAACAGGTAGTCAGGGTGAAGGAGAACCCTCTTACCTCGACGGAAACGTAATTGGATCTATGATGACTGGTTTTTACTGTTTTGGAGTTAGTGGAAATCTGGGTTGTCGACACATTTGGAAACATCAGCAGCTGTTGACGCTGCCTGGAATGTGGAGAATGTGCCGCGCGTGGCAACACTCAAGACTCGGCGTGCCAAGTATATGTAGTGTTGTAGCACGCTGAGCAGGGCTGTGGAACTTTCTGGCAGTGTCCACGAACAGTTGGAAGGAGTACATCTTGGAGAAGATGTAAGCTCGACTTGGCGTAAGTAATCAGATTCTGCTGTTTGGAGTCGCCGTGAGAGAATGTACGAGAAATTTACGAGTTCAGCCTGACCCAAAAACAATTGATTTCTGAATCTGGACCCGGTCTTGGAAGGCAGACTATCTCAAATTTCCCCTGGGATGTTATGGAAACAAAGACGCTCTTTCCCCCCTCCCCACCCCATCCCTTCCCCAAGGTAGTAGACCTGTGACAGAGCTCAACCGAGCTGGCTGATAAACAAACACCTCTTATCAGGACTATGGCTGGGTGGTGGGGGGTGTCTCTGGACTGTGCTGTGTTACGACCTTCCCTCAAACTCAATGCCTCCACTGGCCTCCCTCGCCTCCCCTGGTGCAGAAGGTGCCAAGGGCTGCGTCACTCACCCCCACCCACTACTCACTCCACAAGTATTACGTCTATTTATGTTGCTTTGCTGTGGTAAATTTTTTTTTGATGCCTCAAATCGTGCCCTGTCTAGGACACGGTGTGAGAGATCTTTTTTATACCTCTCTCCTTGTGTTTCGTCCCTTTTTCTTATTTAAGCAATAAGGGCGGTGCTTCTTAGAAGCTGCAGCCCCTGTACACTTCCATCCATCTTTCGGACGGCTGTACAGAACGTAATTTTGTTGTACTTCGCTGTGCAAGGATAATAAAAGTATTCTGATTCTGAAATAAGTGTAGATGCAGATCTCAATGAAAAGAGGTAAAGCTGCACATGACGTGTCAAACTGCAAGTCTTTCTTTAACATGGACAAGATGAGTCCGCTCACAATCGGGGAACCTGGAAAATGGCGCTGTCCACCTCGTTCAGCTCTCCTTCCTCGTCCAAAAGGCTGTAAGCGCTGCCGCTCAGCCCGCTGTCCAGTGAGGCTGCTGTGACCGGAGCATCCCCTGATCTGTAGCTCGACCGAGCTGCAGACACACAACCACACCCGTCAGCACCCAGACATAGGAAGAAAATTAATTTTCTCCTCCGTCTAACATCAATACAAAAGCTGAGAAACACTATATAGGACTGGACAGTAATGAATTGCACATGAACACTGAGGACTGGCAAGCGCAAAGACAAACATTTATCTGAAGCCTCTCTTAAAGACGAGATTAAACATAAAACATACAAACACGACATACACACATATGCTGATGCAGAATAAGAGGCACAAACATGCTACTGAAGTTGTTAATCCTCTATATGTGAATGTAGCCTCTTGGTGTGTTTAGATGCTAATCGTAAAGTTTCAGTGTTGTGTTCTCGTATGTCCTTTCAGCCAGTGTGAGTATGAATGAAGCTCAGATGTGTGGATGCGGTGCAGAACAGCATCCGTGCCCCCGCAGCTTTCTTTCAGGCCACTCGACACAGTCTCACTGTTCAATAAAGCTCAATGAAACGGCGCTGGAGTCACGACGCAGCAGCGCTAACTCCGAACGAATCATATCTCGGCTTTAAGCATCGATTTTCTTGGTTTCAGTGAGCTGTGTCTGTGGCCATGAGGAGAGCGTGCCTCGCTGCATGAATCACTTCTCTCTGCCTCCCTGTCTCTTTTCTTAGCTTGTAAGACTCCCCCCTTCTTTCTTTCTGCAGATGTGCGTTAGTAGTGGTGCATCCTGTCTTTCTCTCACTCTCTCTTTCTCTCCTCGCTCCATCTCTGCTTCAGTCACACGACAGAAGGGAGGGGAGACTCTTGGGCAAACTCTCACCTCCGGTGGTCTGCGGCCTCTCTTCTGACACAGCTTTCCTGAGGGTCAGGTTTCTGCCGTCTGCTCGGCCCCCTTTGGCCGACACGGTCGATGGCAGGGCAGGCAGCCAGTCAGACTGGGCTCTCTGAATGGTTAGCACGCCCACTACGCTGTGTCTCTGGTGCCTCAGTGGGAGGCGGCCGCTCTGGCCTGGATGTATTTTTTGTTGTTTTACCCACAAGCACAGATCAGACGTCAAGGGTCAGGGTCAACAACAGGAATGGATCATGGGATTGCAGTTCAAGATGGAAGGAGGAAGGAGCAAGATGGAGATTTAGAGCAGTTTGTCTTCACCATGGCAACCAGCTTGACTGTGAATCACATGCAGCCACAGTGTGCAGTGCACGTTCACCCCTCCTGCATGGCTTTATGCATGGTGTGCAGCATCTGCTGAGGTGCATTGTGGGTCCAAAAAGGGGAGGGAGTGGCATGTTGCATGCACAGCCGTCTTAGTGGAGGAAGTTCACAACAGCTGGTTGTCGTCATTTTAAAAAAGTGTAAAGAAAAGAATAAAGAAATAAAATAATAAAAATTTAAATAAATTATTACTCAGCAGAGCGTTGGACGTCAACTTTTCGGGTTTTAGATTTAAACGTTGTACTGGTCAATGTAATGGTCATTAATGGGCAGTTTTCACTGAAACAAGCAGAAGGTTTAGTTTAGGATTAGGGTTAGAAATATCTGGTTTAAATATTCTGTTCCACTTTAATATTATTGCACTTCTGCCAATCTTCAAATAATCTGGTCATTTTTGAAGTGAGGATCTGTCTAATATCATATATCAAAATGTTCAGCTCGTTCAGAAGGGTGCTATGACTTTGGTATTGGTAAAACTTTAGCTTTTTGAAAGATTTAGCCTTTTCTGCTACTTTTTTCATAGAAAATGAACTGAGCTCATTTTACATCTTTCATATCTTTAGATGTGTTTACAACCTTTTACAGCTCCTTTCACATTTTGTTCTGGTTCAGCTTCTTTCAGCTTCCTTGTGCAAAATTAAACTTTTTCAGCTACTTTCAGCTCATTTCAGCTGTTTTGTGATCCTTTCAAATTCTTTCTGCTAACTACAACATTTTTGTGCTTTGTCTAACTTCTTTCTGCTAATTTCAGCTTATGATGATACTTTCAGCTTATCATACTTACACAAGTTTTAGCTTTTTCTGATATTTCAGTTACTGTTTAGCTGTTTTATGCTAATTTTTAGCCTTTTTGGCTAATTCCACATTTTTTGCATTCATTTCAAAAATTTTCAGCCTAATTCAGCAAAAACCATGCTCTCTCTACTTCCTTCTGGTAGTTAAGCTTCTTTCTGCTTTTTTTTTTTTTTTAGCTACTTTTCATCTGTTTTATGCTTATTTTACATTTTTTCCAGATAATTTTCACATTTTGTGCTCATTTCTGCTTCTTTCAGCAAACATGTTCTTTCTGCTTTCTTCCGCTAATTTAAGCATGTATTACATTTTCAGCTACTGTTTTAGCCTTTTTTTTTTTTTTGCTAATTTCAGCTGTTTTCAGATAAATTCAATTTTTTTGTGGTAATTTCTGCTATTTTCAGTCTAACTAACTTCTTTCTGCTAAGTTCAGCTTGTTATGCTCCTTTCAGCTTTTTTTTATCCTAGTTTCAGCTTTTCTACTATTTCAGCTACTATTTAGCTGTTTTGTGCTAAATTTAGATTTTTCAGCTAATTGAACCTTTTGGAGCCCATTTAAGCTCTTTCCACTTCCTTCTGGTAGCTTAAGCTTCTTTCAGCCTTTTCAGCTACTTTTCAGCAATTTTGTTTTTGTGCTAAATTCAGATTTTTTATAGCTAATTTCCAAAAAATTGGGCTAATTTCTGCTTATTTAAATCTAATTCATCAAGTATGTGTTCTTTCTGCTTTCTTCTTCTAACTTAGGCTTGTTCTTCCAGTTCAGGTACATGTCAGCATGTTTTATTTTTTAGCTAATTTCAGCAGTTTTCAGCAAGTTCTTCAGCAATAAGTTTTCACACTGCATTTTTGCAGGAAATGCAGTTTCTCTAGTTGCTCTTTGTTGTTTTCTCAAACATCTGTGCTACTACGTAAATGTCAATGGGCTGTGAGATGAACGTTCTTGATACCTTTTATTAATCTACATAGTTTAGATTATTTTATTTACGGAGCCTATTTCATTATTTTATGCCCTTTTAGATTTAATGACAGGCGGTCAGACTCATGAAGGACAGTGTTCACCTCTGCAGGTAAGGCGCTCACTCTAAATATTTGTGACTATAACGTGGCGACATACTGGACTGGATGGGGCAAAGTGTGAACAACTAGAATTTAAAAAATGGAACATAAAGAAACAAAATGACAAAAGAAAGTGCAGGGAGGCCATGCTGCGTGGGCTTTATCTACGTCTTGGTTTACTTGGTTGGAGGCGTTGTGGCAGCTGTGTCTGCTGTTGGGCTTCGCCCGTTGCTATGGCAGCACCTCCGCTGCTCCCACTGCTGCTGTCCTGATGGTGGTGGCGTGCAGCGTTTTTGCCAGAGCGTGAAGCGCCATGTGAGCGAGAGCGTTGGCTGTGGTTTTGGCTCTGGCCCTCGGACGAGGAAGGCTTCGATGTGCCAGGACTACTGTGAGATTTCTCGATAGTGGTCCCCTGCGTGTCTAAAACAACCAGATTCACCAAATTACCACAAATAATCTATCCAGTGAACATAAAGGCTGTTACCTGCTTTGTGGTGAAATAAGCTAGTGAGATAATAAATTTAGTCAAAGTATTAAATACCTCATTGATTCTATGAACTTCCAAAGCAATCTTATAAAATTTGATTTTATTTTGAATGTATTCTTTCAAAGTATGGAAGCATTCAAAGCCTTCCACAGCCATATTGCCCTCTGTAGTAGAGGAAACAAAGAAAGAAGGCCTCTGAGCTAGGTGACATCATGGCAACCAAGAAAACGGAGCAAGAGGAAGCAAAAAAGGCGTGAAGCAGAAGCAGTGGGTGCAATAATGGGAAGAACAGTGCTGGAATTACAAACGATAGGACTGCATAGAGAGAAAACAAGAAGACGATAGAAGAGGGAAAAGTCAAAAGATAAAAGAAGAGTAAAGAAGGAAGCAGGAAACAGGAAGCTGTTTGGGAATGACAGAGACCGAGTCAGGCGGGTCGGGGCGGGGGAGGGGGGCTTTACTGAGTCCTACCCTTGGCTGGATCAGGGAAGATCCCGTGGCTTCGGCTCTTGATGACGGACGATTTGGGGGAATCCTGAACATCGTGCGCGGCGGCAGCGGTTTTGGGGGACGAGTGCTGTGAGGAGGGTTTAGAGGAGCCGTGCCGGCCCTGGCCTGAGTGGGAGCGTCTGTGGTGGTCCCCCTCGCTCTGCTCCTTGAGCGGCAGCCATCGGGGGACGTTGTCCAGCTGGGACGTGTTGGACAGATCAATAAGAACCTGGCAGAAGAAATAAGTTTAGCGAACAGCATTAAACACTGACCTTAATTACATTTGAACTAAGCAAAGGTTTACCTCTCCTAAAAAATCGTTGGAGGAGCCTTTGTCGTAGTCCCACACCGTCACCTCCAGGGTCTTCTTCCTCAGCTGGAACACACACCGTTAAAAGATAACACACACTCATCGCCACCGAGGTCTGCAACCCCAGACTCCTGCAAACACACTACCTGCTCCAGGTGGATGTTTTTATAGATGACGGTCTGGTTCCACTCAGGATTGAGACTCTTCCCTGCGTGTTTGGACTTCCTCTTGTTCTCAGCGCTGCGGGAACAGATCACAAAATATGCACTGTGTCATCGTGCACACTCTCATGCAAGTTAGCGAACCAACCACGACAAGCACAAGGAGCTGTTACTAGAGCAAGGGCACAACAGAGGGGAGAGTATGACAACGAGCAACAGGGTTTGGATGGAAACAAAGTATGAGACTATGCACGTGCACGATGTCAGGGCGTGCTGCAAAAAAGTCCATTTTGACGTCCATCCAGTCGTTTAGTCTCACAAAATTTAGATGGGCTATCAAATAATCCTGAACGCAAGAAAATACAATTTATCCTACATTGTTTTTTTGTTTTTTTTAAGTTGTCTTGATTAAAAATTTTTATAAAAGCAAATATTTGACTAATGTGTAGGAAAAATAAAAGTCCAGGTGAAACCGAACGAATGACTTCTACAGATGGATGTTTTTTGCAGAGTGTAGGGTTTGATACGTCATTATTTTTGGAAAAGACAGGAACGATCTACTCTATAAGACAACAATGGCATGAATAAGTGCAGCGGAGCAAAGTTACAGGTTTGAATCCAAAGTGGCACATTGTTAGGGGGGGGGGGGCAATATGACGCTGGAGGGGCAATGTTGGACATTAGTGAGGGATTCTTAATACATAACAGGGGAAAACACAACAGCGCAGGGGATTATTTGGTTATATATGTTAGTTTAAGGAACATTAGGGAATATTTTAAGGGGATTTTCACCCCCCTAAAACCACGATGCTCATAAAGTTAAAGGGAACATACGCGCATTTTAATAAATTAACGGAAAATGACAAATTACTGAAGAGTGAAGGGAGTTACTGACACGCAATGAATAGATTATGATTCTTCCACTCCGTTATATTAACATGGTCATCTCGTGACCCAACAGACAACTAGTTATCACCCAGAACAGAGTGGGCAAATCACATACCTGGCATTCTGGACAACCATGACCTGACTGAGGGGGTCCAGCATGCATTAAATATAGAGAACAACATACAGAAACAATAGTCAGAGGGAGGGTGGAGGGTCAAAAAGTGCTTGTACGAAAGAGGATTTTAGGGTAAGTCTTGGTTTGTTGAAGTTTTGTGGGGTTGTGACAGGGAGCTGGTGTGCAGCAGTGATGTCGGTAAGCAGAAAACAAATGCATCTTTTTGTAGCTAAACTCCCAAATCTTCCCTAAACCGAACGTCTAATCTCAATTATTTTTTGTTCATTACTTGTTGTTGGACCACAAAATGCAGCCCATACGAATAAACTCTAATTTAACTTGTCTGTTAGCTATTTAATATTAACATCAACATGAATATTCCTGCAAAAAAGCAGTTGAAATTAAATACAAAACAATATTTACAACTCAATATACCGTATTTTTCAAACTATAAGGCGCAATATCAATGAACGGGTCTGTTTTCATACATAAGGCGCATTAAGCGAAACAAAACAGTCAGATAAGTCAAACTTTATTCATCTCTTTCACAATAACCACATAAAATCAGTTCGAGGTCAGTAAGCACAACCAGAGTTAATAAATAAGGTGCACCTGATTATAAGGCTCACTGTTGATATTTGATAAAATTAAAGGATTTTAAATGCAACTTATAGACCGAAAAATACAGTACAATAATTATTTGACAAATATACACCAGTTAGCTATACCATTACAACCACAGACTAGAAGCGTGAGTTAATTCTGTTCATTGTTTTATAACCTAATGTTTTACAGAGAAAACTTTCGATCATCATCAACCCAATTTCCCCAAAAAGTTGGGATGCTGGTTAAAATGTAAATATAAACAGAATGCAATGCAATTTTTGATATCTTATAAACTCCTAGTTAAAATAGAGCATACTTTAAGAAATTGTTACATTTTTTAGGAAAAAATTAGTTAAGTTTTAATTTTTGTGAACGAGAGGAGCAATACAGTTTTAAAAATTGTTGGGACAGAGGCAACAAGAGGTTGTAAAAGTCAGTCATATGAAAAGGAAACAACTGAATGCAACTAACTGGGTTAATTGAAAACAGGTCAGTAAAAAGAGTGGGTATTAAAAAGCATCTTAACGAGGATGAATCTTTCTGAAGTTGAAATGGGCAGAGGTTCACCAGTCTGCAAAAAAAACATTTAAAAATAGTGGAAATATTTCAGCATAATGTGCCTCAGCAAACAAATAGTAAGACTTTAAAAATAGCGTCTACAGTTCAAAATATCTAATAATTTCAAACATCTGGGGAAATCTCTGCGCTCAAAGAACAAATCTGATGTCAGGTGTCTGTGATCTTAGGGCCTCCATCACAACTGCATTAAAACAAGTCTACTGTATTTTTCGGACTATAAAACGCACTTAAAATCTTTTAATTTTCTCAAAAATTGACAGCGAGTCTTATAATCTGGTGCGCCTTGTGTATTAATTCTGGTTGTGTTTACTGACCTGATTTTATGAGGCACAACAGAACAATGTCGAGAGTTATTGTGAATGAGTTGAATAAAGTTTGACTTATCTTTTGTTTCGTTTAATGCGCCTTATAGTTTGAAAAATACGGTAATTCTTTCATGAACATCACTGTGTGGGCTCAGGAACACGTCCACAAATCACTGTCTGCAAACACAGTTTGACGTGCCGTTCACAAATGCAGGTTAAAGTTTTATCACGCAAAGAAGCTGTATGTAACCAAGAAGCCTCTTCTGGGACAAAATTAATTTGAAATGGACTGATCAGGAGAAATTAATTTTTGAAACCATAAAAAAACATGTCCTCTGTGCTAAAGGACCATCCAGCCTGTTATCAGCGCACAGTTCAATAGCCTGCTTCTCTGATAGTATAGGGGTGTATTATTTCCTCTGGTATGGGCAACTTACAAATCTGCAAAGCACCAATTTAGAAAAGTTTATACAAGTTTTAGAACAAATGTTCCCATCCAGCTAAAATAAAATCAGAAAAGGCAACTCAGGACTGTTAAATGAGACAACTCTCCGCTACAAAATCTCAGACGCTACATATTTACAGACTGCTTTTACAAAGGGTGCTTCACAGTAGGACACATGTTCCCGTCTCGTCCTTTTTGACATGTGCTGCTGCCTTCACTTTCAAAGATGCGTTTATGTTCCATTATGAATAAAACACTGGTTTATGAGGATAATAAATCATTGCATTTTGTTTTCAATTAAATTTTACACAACACGCCGTTTGCTTCAGACTTGGGGTTGCAGGTGCTACTCTGATCATTACCACCCATTGTTTTATGTTTAATCAAATTATCCAGCCTTCATTTCAAGGGAACAGCAGTGCGACCTTCCAAATCTGCCAAGGAAGGTCTCAAAGATCCCAATAAACCATTTGAAGCTTCAAAGTCCTCAGATTTAAAACGATCTGATGTTATGTTAAACAAACCTAATGCATAACCCTCCAGAAGACCCACTGATGTTCTTCATGCCCAAACTAATCACAGCTGACTTGTCTGTGGTGCAATAAACATAACCTTGTGGATGATTGATGCTACTTAGGTTTAAGCAACTGTGCTCAACATAAAAAAAGCATATATGCACACGTGCATTTAAGTGCCAGTGTTTAAAAATGTTGCAGAGCCCTAATGACATGAACAGACACACATACGCTTGGATGAAGATCTGTGAGAGTACTGACTGAAATGCCCACAGCCATAAATTACTTCTTTTATCCAAAATGATCGAAGGAAGAAAATAAAATAAAATCCTCACGGAGGCATCTCATCTCAGACAGAAGAAACGCTGAAAGAGTCAATTGCATTACAACACTACCACCATGAGAATAGGGGCTCTGGACTTACGGATAGTATTGCAAGTAAATATGAGAACTATTGATCTTAGCTGCACTCACACCTGCAGTGCAACATCCATCAACAGAGTCCACCTTTAACCTCCTGTTATTTATGTGATGTTTGTTGTTTAGCAGTGACCGGGGGCTGATGAGTCCTGTAAAGGAGTGATTCACTGAACATAACTGATGGGCTCGATGTGTCGCAGCGATATGAAGAGCTGTGTTGCACATTGAAAAATGCAATGATAAGCCAAAAATCAATTTTTAAATGAATGAAAATTAGGTTAAAGTGGCTGTCTGTGCAGCCTAGAAGAAAAAAACAAATCCTGTCATTCTAAATCTGAATGAAAACAAAAAGCTGCCATCATTTTTTTTTATTATTGTGCACTAACGTTACTCCAGCTCTGAACTATTGAAGGTGCGCTCAGAGTTTCTGCTCTCCTGACTCACCCTCTCCCAGGCAGGAGATAGACTTTAACAAATGGGTCAGAGAAGCCGTTGATGTCCCGCGGAGCGAGGTTTCTGGCCTGCAGGACGTGAACTATCAAGTTGCCGAGCTGCTTGTCATAGTGGATTTGAAGCTATAAAAGGAAACAGCAGAGTTAGAACACATTTAAATGGATTGGTTAAAACATTGCAGGCTGTAAAACATGGTTTTGTGTGTTTTGAAGCACTCGATACATTAAACAAGACAGAGTTCGATGCCATGCACCTGTATCTCTCCAGAAACGGGGTGAGACTTGGTTCCATCTGGAATCTGTAATAGATGAGAGTGAGATATTAAGACAATGCTGGATAAAAACCAGTGGGTGGTGTGTTTACTTGTAGGTGGGCATTTTGTACAAATTGTCCCATTTTCATCAAATGCTTGAGGCAAAATTGTAACATTAACTCCTGACATCAAAACCTTTATTATACCAGATGCACTGATTATCTTATCTGGTTTAGTTTTAGCTTCTTTACTGCTTTACTCTGTAAACAGTTTATGTACAGTACTTACAGCTGTTTTGATCCAACCTTCAAAATAAAATTATGCACAATCACATGCACTGTTCATAGTATGTTGTGAAGGACTCTCAGCTACAACCACACCAAATCCTAGCTCAACATTAGTCAAACTGACAGAATCATAGCCTTTTTTTTTAAAATAAACTAAACAAATGTGGTTTTGTTAAATCTCAGTTTGATTTTTTTTTTTATGTATTACTGGTCCTCACATATTCACAAACTGACTTATTGGCTAAATTCAACTAATTTCATCTGGTGTCATCTTGAAATACAATCAATTTATCCATCTTTTTCACCTGCCGCCATTATCTGTTCATCACTACCAATTAAATTATCTTATGTTACTTTAAATCCCATAGTGCTGTCTATAATTATGATTTGGTCCCAGTTTAGGTCTCATTTCAAATTTGTGTCTCCCTCTAACAGAATGCCGTTATTAAAAAATTATCCGTTTCCCCCTGCTACTACTAATGCCGCTTCGCTTATATGATTGGCATGAAACAGGCATTAAAACCATGGCAGATCTTTACAAAGATGGTGTTTTTCTTAGTTTTTCAGAACCGTCTTCAAAAATTTAACCTGCCTCCTTCCCACTTGTTTCTCTATTTTCAAATTAGACACTGTATTTCAACATTGTTTCCAAATTTTCCAACTTTCCCTGCTGACCCACCATGGGTTGACCTTCTGGTTCTTAGGCCTAATGAGAAATCAGCCCTTACTAATATATATGCATCACTGGTGACAACTGAGTCCAACTCATTTGGTAAAATCAGAACCGCCTGGGAGCGTGAATTAGGTGCTGCACTGTCTGAATCATGGTGGGATACGGTGATTCTCAGCACACGTTCAAGTACACCATGTGCTAGATTACAGCTTATACAGTTTAAGTACAACACTTAACCTGTCTCCCCTGCAAAATGAGATTTTAGCTTTCTGTTCCCTTCTTGCTAGACGCTGCATTTTACTCTTCTGGAAAGCTCCCACACCTCCATCTACATTACTATGGCTTAACACTGTCAGGACATTTTTGAGGGTGGAGAAGATTTTACTAACAGTGAAGCGTAATTCAGAAAAATGTACTTGCAAGTGGACACTCTTTGTGGAGTACGTCAAATCTTTACCTCCTTAGTGTGTAGAATTGTGTAATTTACCCACCATGTTACGAAGTTATAAAGATTGCAAACTGTTCTTATTTATTTTAGACGCCCACCTCCACCTTTATCTTTTTTCTTATTTACTTTTTTCTCGTTCTTGCATTTGTACAGTTTTATATTGTGAATAACATTGTATAATCTCTTGATAAATAAAAACAAAAAAATCTCAGTTCAGCAGTTCTAAAATCTCCACAGTAGACTGGCCTTGCTGCTGTGGCGCTTCTTGCTGACAGAGGGCGATCCTGGCTGAGCAGGGCTGGAGGTGGCGGAGGTTGGGGCAGGGAGGGTGGAGGAAAAGCCGGACATGGGTCCCTGCTGCTGGGACACTTTCTGCAGCTCGGCCGCCAGCTGTTTAGGATCAACACCTGGAGACCTGGGAGGTCTGTCCCCTAGAAATTTCACGTATACAGTCATAAAGGTCCAACAAGGCAACCTACTGGGTATTACATGTCTCTTTGTAGCTTGGATTACTGGATACATAATTGAGCATGCATGATAATTTCCATAATGTTTGAAGGATGATAAAAAGAAAGGTTTTAGGACTTGTGAAATGCAAATGAATAGAGAAAAACAGCACTTATTGTAGGCCTAAATTTGAAATAAACACAAGATGGTAAACTTATTGGAAAAATGTCTAATTAAAAAACATTAAATTGCATAAAAAATATTATGTCTAAATGTTTTATAGCTATTGTAAAAATATATTGAAACTTATTTCATTTTAACATCTTAGAAAAGAAGTACCAGCAAAAACTACACCTCCATATACAAAATAGAAACCCTCCATAGATCAGAAGTTATAGTACTGAGTGACTTTTGTTAAAAGTGCCTGGAAATAGATGTGAAAACATTCCAAGTGACTCACATATTAAGGATTTTTACATATACTTAATTATCCTCTATTAAAATAAATAAATAATCAAATAAGATAAATTGCTGCTGGAACTTTTTGCTGACATTATATGCAATGCTCCAATTGGAAAACACTGTCAGGATACAAACCAAGACTAGACAAACATTAGAATCAGTCAGTTAGGACTGGAAAGATCAAAAATACTCCAGCGTACCTGTGTTGTGCTCCAGGAGGTCCAGGTGGTGAGAATCCTCAGACTCAGACAGCATGTTTAGATCACTAAAAGAAGGGAAATATATTTCATGTAAAGTCAAACCGACAAGAAATAAAGTAGAAAAAGAAACACAAAGTCCCTAAAATGAGCCATAGAAAGAGATAAACATTGAGTGCATACTAAAGAAGAGCAGGAGCGTACAAATAAAGAGGGCAAAGGTCATACTTACAGTCTGACGCACACTTCGGCCTCGTTACACAGCTGTCCCACCAGTCCCTGCACTTCCTCGTAGGTCTTACCCGTCAGAGGAACACCGTTCCACTCCAAGACTTGCATTCCTATAAATATTTAACAACCATGAAAACAACAAAAGCAGCGCTCAACCTGTTTCTCCTCTCATATTTGACACGGTACAAACATTTCACTTCAAACAACAAAAACAAAATCAAGCACTGGAATTTTCTCGTTAACCAACCATCATATGAGCCAGAAAGAGAGGATTTAATTTCCAGATTTGCAATGGCAAGGGTCTCATTTATATTATTTCAACTAGGGCTAGGCGATACGGACCAAAATTAATATCTTTATTTTTTTTAAGATAAATCACGATATACAATATATATCTCAATATTTGTTCTTTCCATAATGTAATAATAAAAATATATTACTGAGTCAAAGCTTTGTCCCATTTGTCACACAGGCAAATTTATTAACAAACAACTATAACTGTACAAAATTAGTCTCGATATTTTTAAGATAAATCACGATATATGATATATATCTCAATATTTTTTTTCTTTCTAGATAGTTATAACAAAAATATATTCCTGAGTCAAAGCTTTTACCCAATTGTCACACAGGCAAATGTATTAACAAACAGCTGTAACTGTACAAAATTAATGTCTAAAAAAATAAACTATTTACATATATTAAATAATAATCAGCTACGCCGCCTTCACGATGTTAGTAAGCGTGTGAGAAGCAGCAGTGAGGGACTGTGCTTGTATTCAGAGAGGGAGAAGGAGGGGTCGCGTGAAGTTGGCAGTGCAGATGGGAGAAAAAGTATGACATGGATTTTCAAGTCTAATAATACTTGATGGTTGCGATAGAGCCATTTTAACTATCGTAAATTGAAAAAAATCGCGATATATCTATTATATTTGATACATCGCCGAGCCCTAATTTCAGCTCACACAAATTCACTCCAAACAGCAAGGAACACTTCAGTCTAAATAAAAGCCAGGCTGCGTGCTGGCAGGACTTACACAGTTTGAAGCAGCGCATCAGAAGGGTCTTCTGTTTGCGGCGATACTCTCGAGCTGCGTGAGCGTGATTTGACAGGGAAGCTACACTGGAGTTTCAAACTGCTAACACTCATCACATCGCTAACACTTCACAGAGATGTTGAATTTTCAGCACTCAGATAAATTTATACATCCTCGGCGACACTAAGCCTCAACGCCTGTTGAATGTGACAACATATTCAATATTCACGCCAAAGAGAAACGGCAAGGCACAGTGTTCCCACTGGCACAAGCATCTACTTCGCAGCCGTTCTGCTCGCTGCTGATGACAGGGATGCGGCTGTTGTTGTGGCTGAGTTGCCCTTGCGGCGTGCAACATGACAGATGCAACTTGCCTCTTGAGCTGAGGCAATCACAAACACTATTGCTTCATTATGAACCATAAAAACTTTAGATTTAGAAGAAAAGAGATGAGAGTGTTTATTTAAAGAAGGGCGCATCTGAAGCTAATTGGAGACAGAAGTCCAAATATGCATTCAGACCATAAACAAGGCTGAGGGAGTAGGATGGTGACTGGGTTACCAGACTCCCCCAGGTGAAATCAATAACACCTCATAAAATGTGTCCCACTTAATAAACCACGTAGCGATGTATCCTCAGGTGGTGTCAGTGAGAGGTTTCTGAGGGTAAAATCACAGCTCATATATCTGTGGGTGAGGGCGGAACGCCACCGCGGTGACTTGGGAAACAGAGATTTGTGACAAATCCAGATCTCAACAGACAAAAACCCAATAATTATGACACTTTGTTTATTAAAGGCATCAAATATGACATTACTTAGCTTACTTTTTGTCACAGGCAATCAAATGTAAACGTGTACTAATCTAGAAATGTTGTTTGATGTTTTTAAGGATGCCTGACGAGTTTTAGATGGAAAGGAACAGCTCTGCCTAAAGCTCACAAATCCTTTCATGAAGAAGATATCTCATTCAGACTTTTTACTTCACTCATTAACTCGGACAGGTTGGTGAAAAAGACTAACACTATAGAGGTTTTTCATTTTCACACTTAAATATGGAAATAAATGTAATTTTTCTGGGCTTTAGAACAACAAACTATCACTTAGAACTCATCTTGATTGTGTTGTAAACAAATCAGTAGACAGACACCATTCCCATGCACTGGTCGGGCACATTTAGGGGTTGTTTTGCCTGATATGTACTGACATGCTGACATCCCTACCAGAGGGACAGTCACTCCGGGTAGGCCTGGCAGCTGCAAAGCTCTTGCACGTTGTCTTTTCACGTGAAGGATGAAGTATCCCTGCTTCTCATTGTCATGCTATTTAAATTTTCTGTCTGTGAATATTGCGTGAATGTTCATGAAGCAGTCACACTATCGTGATCCATTTTTCTTCTGTGTGTTTATCAGCATCTTTATAGTTCCACAATTTTTTGTGCCATTTCAACAAATCATATATCAAAACGTTCAGCTCGTGCAGGAGAAGGGTGCCATGACTTTTGGTATTGGTGCAACTTTAGCTTTTTGAAATATTTAGCCTTTTCTGCCACTTTTTTTTTCCTCATAGAAAATGAATTGAGCTCATTTTCTTTCCTTCAAATCTTAAGATCTGTTTATTTACTGCTTCTTTATATTTTGTTCTGGTTCAGCTTCTTTCAGCTTCCTTCAGCAAATTTAAACATTTTTTTCAGCTACTTTCAGCTAATTTCAGCTTTTTTGTGCTCCATTTAGATTCTTTATGCTAACTACAACATTTTTGTGCTTCTTCTAACTTATTTCTGTGGATTTGCTCCTTTCAGCTTATTTCTGCAATTTTCAGCTTTTTCTGCTATTTCAGTTACTATTTAGCTGTTCAGCTAATTACACATTTTTTGCACTCATTTCAACTTTTTTCAAACTAATTCAGCAAAAATGTGCTCTCTCAACTTCCTTCTAGTAATTTAATCTTCTTTCGGCTTTTTTGGCTACTTTTCAGCTGTTTTTTTTAGCTAATTTCAGCTTTTTCAGATAATTTCCACTTTTTTGTGCCCATTTCTAATTCTTTCAGCGTAACTGGGCAAACGTGTTCTTCATACTTTCTTATGCTAATTGAAGCTTGTTCTATCTTTTCAGCTGATTGTTAGCATTTATTGGCTAATTTCAGCTGTTTTCAGATGAATTCAAGTTTTTTGTGGTAATTTCTGCTACTTTCAGCATAATTAACTTATTTTTGCTAATTTCAGCTTGTTATGCTCCTTTCAGGTTAGTTATGCTAGTTTCACTTATTTCAGCTAGCTACTATAGCTGTTTTATGCTAATTTTAGCTTTACAGCTAATTTCAGTTTTTGTACTCATTTAAGCTTTTTCCAGCCTAATTCAGCAAAAAAGTGCATCTCCACTTATTTCTGCTATTCTAATCTTCTTTCTGCTATTTTAGATAATTTTCAGCTTTTTTTTTTGTTGTTGCTAATTTCAGCTTTTGTCAAATAATTTCCACTTTGTTGTGTTCATTGCTGCTTCTTTCATCCTAACTGGTCATAATTCTGCTCTCTCCACTTCCTTCTGGTTATTTAAGTTTCTTTCTACCTTTTCAGCTACCTTTCAGCTTTTTTTTTGGTTGTTGCTAATTTCAACTTTTAGAGCAAATTTACCATTTTTTAGCTCATTTCTGCTTATTTAAACCAAAATTCAGCAAGTATGGTTTTTTTTCTGTTTTCTTTTGCTAACGTGGGCTTGTTCTCCCTTTTCAGCTACATTTCAGCATGTTTTTAGCTAATTTCAGCAATTTGTCAGCAAGTTCATTAGCATTAAGCATTCACACTGCATTTTCATAGGAAATGCAATTTCTCTAGTTCTTATTAGTGTTTAAATTATGTAATGACAAATGAACTTAATTTTCCAGTGAAAGGATACGAGTTGTTTCAACCTAGCTGCAACAGCACATGCAAGTGTCTGCACTCAGTATTTTCCTACGTTTGCCTAATAATTGTAGTAATTGGTAAACTGAATTACCATCACAAATTGACTGATGCAGTGGTAGTTATGTTAACTAACCTGAGATTTCATTTTAGTCTATTAGATCTGCTGGGATTTCAGTACAAAGCAAACAACAGTAGTTGTAGTTTGGAGTAATGTGGAATCTTTTTAAATTCACCATTGTTTTGCACATTGTGAGATCTATTCCTTAAATATTTATGAACGATGATGTACAGATTTTCATTCTTTGTTTTATTTTTACACTCTCATATGGGTCTAAATAATACATAATAATACATATAATAAATATACCTTATTATAATAATAATACAAATACCTATTACTGATAATTATTTCTAAACTAAGTAAAATTAATATTTGTGCACCTTCAAACACCACTGCTAACATTATTCATTATATATTTATATTTGGCTGTGACATAATTCATCCCATGGGATTAATAAAGTCAATAAAAGGTATTAATCTCAGATGAACACCTCTCTGAGCATGGATCGCTGCTGAAGGATCAGTGATGTGAACGATCCTCTGAGGGAATTTCGCTGCACATTTGTTTTGCAGCTGACTGAGAAATCAGCTAAACAACAAAATGACGCTCCTGAAAAGATTCATATCAGTTTATTCATGCAAAAATGTATATTTTATTAGTAAACAGTTCAACAGCAGAAATACAAGCCCATGCCTGACGTATTATGATCTTGTATTTGAACTAGTTGTTACTTTTGGTGTCATGACTGCAGATAATCAGTTTAAACTGTGTCATGTCAATAAATCAGCTTCATTCTTTTTGATTAAAAAAGAAGTTTGTGACTACAGTTTGAAAAAGCATGCTGGAGTGAAGGAACTCAAGTTTGACAGCTGTAAACAATAGTGTCTTCTTATGGTAATGCTAAATTAATTAAATGCTAATGAAACAGTGTAAAACTATTTTTTAGGCAAACATATTTTTTGTTGTTGTATAAAGGCTGGCATAGGAGTTTTGGTACTTCTGGAAATATTTAAACTTGCCATTTCAAAATGCTTTAACCCTTTGTGCAAAGCTATGCTAGCTAGGAGGCTGCAGCTGTTAATTTTTGCCCAACAAGTCAACAAGTTGCATCTGTCATGTTGAGCTGGACAACTGGAAACAAGTCCAGCCTGACTGTGGACACATAACACACCAAACCAAGAGCATGAGCTAACAGACAGGGCTGACGAAGGAGTGGCATGAACAAGAAGTATATATAGTAGGAAAGGGTGATTGCTGAGGACAAACAGGTGTGCTGATTGTTAATGAAAGGCAGGTGGGTGTGGAGCTAAAAAATAGGGACGAATAGGGATGTCTAGAAGTTACAATAACAAATCAACCAAAATTATCTAAATGTAACAAAGCCCAAGAAAATTAAACAGGAATTAAAACAAAAACTGATATAAAATCCTCAAAAATCCTGATGGTAACTACATGTGTAAATACTTTTATTTACATTGTAAACACAATGCTGAACAAAGGGCATTCACATTGTCTGACAGGTGCACAGGCTAATTTACATCGTCTTCATTCTGAACCGACTAAAATACTTTTATTTATCTTTTTGACAAAGCGAAGTGAAATTTGATCAAAGATCTTACCTTCAAGAATTTTTCCTGTTTGTTCTGCAGCTCCACCAGGCAGGACTTTGGCCACATAAGCTCCAATGTCTCCATTACTACGAGGGACCTCCTTCCCTCCAACTATACGAATACCTAAACCATTTCCTGTTTAGCAGAAAAACAAATAATAATGTCATTATGAATTGGTTTGTAATCCTCCTAGAAGAAGCACAATCTTTAACAGCAGTAACAGTGGACCTGAATTATAAATGTGAACCAAATGTAACCGTTTACAATGTTTCCAATTAAAATTTGATTATTAAATGTTGAGTACCTCGTGAATAAAAGTAAAACCTTTAAAACATGTATATCTTATTATATCTGAAGATATGGCTGAATTTATAAAAAAATATATAAAATGTGAACAAGGTAACAACATTTCCCAAATGTAATGTTTACTGTATGCAAAAGATGAAAAATGCATCACGAGATGACCTATAGCCTCAGATCTTTTAAACAGAACCAGAACCTCAGTCATTTTATACTATGACACTACTCGTATAGTAATTAAAGTAAGAACAAAATGACTGAGGCACATTTATTGCTCTGTTTGTTAATCACATAGGATAATCCTTAGCGTAAGGAATATGCCATTTTGAGCATGACTGATAAGCCTGAGGACAAATTCAATCTAACAGAAAGCCAATAAATGTCTGCCATCTTTAAGCCTGAAGGAGTTGTGGGAGAAATATAAGAAAAGCAAATGAAATGCATAATAAATACCACTAATGCTCTGTAAACCAATTATGGTTTATAATGATCACATTTTACAGCCTGTATCCTTCTTCATTCTATTACTCTGAAAGTTTATGACAATATTGCTTTATTCCCAATAACTTAAAGAAAAAAGTAAAATATTTAAAGCATGTATGTGTTGCAAGTTAAAGGTCTGAGCAAAATGCAATTAAATGAATGTGGTGATCGATAAGATTAGCTTGCAACACATGATCCTGTGGACTGACATTTTGCCTCTCTGTGCTGCAGCTTATATCTTTGGTACTTTACCTGAGACACTGCGCTCTTTGAGATCCCTCTGCAGTTTGACCCTGAGGTGAGGGAACGGATAGTACGGACCTTTTCCCTGCAGCCCAAACACAGCGAGGAAACGTTAATCACCTTGTCTCACTATAATAATATTCCAAGATGACTGCTCGATCAGAAGTAAGCGTGTGCATTTTGGTACTTGGGTGATTATATTTTAGTTACAAAAACACAACCTTAGGGGAACAACACAGTATTTGATATACAGTATTGTTTATTTTTGATCTTATGTTCGAATATATCGTACTTGACGCCATATACATTGCATTGCCGTATAAGTTGCATCGGTCAAAATATGCCTACCGTGTTTTTTTTTCATTTACCCTTTATTTATACAGAAAGTCTCATTGAGTCACGAGAACTCATTTTCAAGCGAGACCTGTAATGAAGTGGAAAAAACATAAATAAGTCGCTTTGCCGTATACGTCGCATCTATTATGCGTCACTGCTGATGCGTCGTGTTTGTTATGTCAATGCTGACCACCTGTAAACGTGGCCCAGTGTTGTGCCAAAAATTGATTGGCTGCCAAATGGAGGCCGCGGGAGCGTGCATGGGGGGACTTTAACAAGAATTTAACAAGATTAATACTTAAAAACAATTATTTGTTTGCTCAAAATTATAGCAAAAGTGTGTCTCAGTTTAACTTTTTCTTAATAAATGCACTTTAATGGTCAAATCAGCTGCATTTCACCTGGGCTGCTCTGCAAAATGCAGCTGATTTGACGTTTGCTCCAGGAGTTCAGGAGCGAGACGAAGGTGGCTTTGTACGGCAAACCAAGTGTCTCACTAATAGCCACTTTTATCTATTAATGAGACACTTGGTTTACCATATTAGTTGAGCGTCCTCTAGCGGCTGAAAATGGTATTGATCGATATTTTTTATGTCAGAATGAACGAAATCGTCAGATCTCAGCCAAAAATTAGCTTATAAATATGGGAAAAAACGTATATTAGTCGCTTCGGTGTATAAGTCTCAGGACGTGCAAATTTATGCAAAAAGGTGTGACTTATACAGCGAAAAGTACGGTAATTTCCATAACGCAGCTAAAATGATTTAACCTGATACACTTTAAGCATCGCATCACCTGACATAACTTCCAGTAGTTCAAGACAAAGTCAGTGCTGTTATTTCAGCTATATTTAAGTGTGTTTATCAATCAAAAACAAGATTTAAAAGTGCAAGAATTTGTTTGTTTTTGTAGGTTGCAGCACAAACTAGATCTAAGCTTTCAGATTTGGAGGCTAAATTAAAACTGAGCGTAAGCTGAGGGAGTCAGAGTCAGAGGTGTCAAGCCACCTAACAATTTAAAGTCTATTATTAACCACTGAGAAAGATTATTATTCACAAGGTGACAACACTGTGGACAAAGGGCAGTCCTCCAAAGAAGAATGCATCAATAAATGTTTCTTGAAGTCAGACCAAATAAGCAGGGGAAACTGTAAAGATGCTGCCTGTATGTCTCCGACTCTGCAGGCCTCAAATATTACAATTTGAAGAGCACCAAGTAACAAATAAAAAAGTCTAATTAGATGAGGGTTTTAGTTACCTAGATTTGCAACTTTGCGTCTAACCAAATGAGATGTTCTGGAACAAAATATATCAGAGAGATAAAATAAAAATGAAAATGTTTGGCTGTAGATTACGCACAAACCAAACATCATATCAGCACAAACACCTAGTATGAACCGTGAAACGACTTTTGGAAAGCTGATGGATAGGCTTTAGCAGTGACTGGACCGGGACACCTTTCAGTCATCAACTCAACCATAAACTCTGTATACCAACGTATTCTAAAGCCAAATGTGACGCCATCTGTCCAACGATTAAACATTAGCAAAAAATGAGAAACAAAACCAGATACTGGTCCAAAATTACTGGAAAATATCATGACTGGAGAACAAATAAACTGAGGCTTTGCAATGGCTCACTCAAAGTCCACATTTGAAATCACTGAAAATGAAGTAAGACTTTATAATCTTTCCACTTCATCTCCTCAAGGGATCAATAAAGTGTCTGTCTGTAATTGAACACCCCCAAATGTCTATAAACAGAAGCTGTGTTCAGAAGACAGGGAGCTAAAATTCCTCCTTAAACACAACATGTTTTGCTGTTCATGGCTGTTTTTATCTTATTTTAAGGCCTGGTAAGGACCAAATATGTTTAATAAATGTATAAGTGAAGGTATTTGTCCTTTTGTACCTGTTTCTTTTCCTGTCCATTCTCCTGCCGTCCATCTCTTGGTTTGTCAAACCAGTCTGTCTCTTCTCGTCTCAGATGGTAAGCTTCAGGAATGAAACACAAGCACTTCTTCAAAACCAGAGGATTTGGATGCTTAAATCCTACTACAGATATATTTTGTTTTGTTTTTTTATGTAATTGCATGCCTATAAGAAAATTTAAAGTGTTAAAAGTGAATGACGGAAATAAAGACATGAGGAGAGCACAAGAGGGATAAAGAAATGTAGTGAAATAAGCAGAAAAACTAAAGCAGTTTGAAGGTTAATAAAAAAGATTAATATGGCATACATTTATATAAATATAAATGTTGGGTTTAAACATACACATACATGAATATTCTCTGACTAAAAGTTAACATTTCTTTCAAAATATTTGTAATATCCTAATATAATTTTTTTTAAATCCACTGAAAATAAAATGGCATTTACTATTGATTTTATTTATATATGAACCTGCCCAACATTTACAAGATGTACATTTTTATTAGTTGGTTAATGTATTAGAAAATAAATAACTAATAGTAATACTCTACCATTAGCTGCATCGTCTCTGTTCAAAGCCATCAGGGAATCACTTAGAGCTGGAATCAGGACAAATTGTTTTATAATGTGAAATAATTAGAATTGGCATTGTTAACAGTTTTTTATCACAAAGGTAAAAATAAAAGATTTTTAAAAAGTTCTGAGTTTCAAAACTGAACATTTCCATGGTGCTTTGTATAAAAAAAATACTAAGAATTTATTGTACCCTTACGTCAAAACAGCAAATATAGGCATAAGGATTTTAATAATTTATGAATTATATATTTTTCACCCTTTAAAAAGGTATTGATATTGGTAAGTGGGAATGGATGAAGAACCCATGAGTGGTGGTGTGTGTGTGTGTGTGTGTGTGGGGGGGGGGGGGGGGGCGGCTTGTAGGTCTCCCCAAAAGACACTGAGCTTTATTCAAACCTTCATGTTTCTTGAATAGCACAAGATCTGAAACACTCAGTGTTCTGAGTTTCTTAGGATTCATGAAGGGTCTCCCAAGAATCTTTTCTGTTTGGCTGCTCAGAGCCAGGCAATGGCCTAAATAGCACAAATAGGTCCCCAGTTCAATGCCACAGGCATCACACAAGCCACTGCCATCGAGTCCCAGTTACAAAACCATCCAGTGGGTCACTGTACTCTATCACTATAGATGTACAACATCAGCACCTCTGCACCTACTGACCCCTTCAGAAGAGAGCCATCTGTAAAACAGTAGAATTGGTTGGGAGGCAGGTCCACAATAAAGAAGTTGTTCTAGGAAGATTTATCTTCAATCTCTGTCTGAAAACTTGGCTCAACATTTAATTTATTTGTCCATACTGTCTGGAGGTCCTCTCACTGGAAAATCAGCAACTTCCCAGTCCCAGAGTATGCTGCGAGTCTGATAGCTCCTCCACCTACTAGTATAGCGTAAATTCACCACAATGGATGCAGCCTTCCCCAAGATATACAAATCCAGTGGAGTCAGGTCCAGAAGGACTTTAAGGGTTGCTGTGTTGTTCTAACAGAACCTTTGATGCTCAGGCAGGCCATGAGTCATCTACACATGGATGAGCATCACTCTTGCTGCCCCAAATTGGAATAGGACCCACCATTTTAAAGCAGCATAACATAGCATGGAGCAGACTATGGCATGTAGAACCACCTGATAACTTTAGGGGTAGCACCCCAACGACTACTGTACCTGCAATACTACAGCACTGATGTAAGCACATTGTGGCCTTCTTGCACTTTTCATTTACATATCATTTATAATTAGGCTTTCTGTCAAGATAGACACCCAGAAACTTGACTGACTCTGACAAGGAAAATTCTACTAGCTCCAACTTTGAAGGTGAGCAATGCTTCCTTTATTTATTTTACAAGTAAGTGAGGTAACAGGTAAGTAAATTATTCTCATACCAACTGATAAACTGCCCTTCTTTCATCGAGCAACAGTTAGATCAAAAAATTATAGTCTGGTAGCATATTTTTTAAACCATCTTTCATTTCCTTCAGTTTGCTTCCAAGGAGCCAAATATTTTTGCAACCTTCTAAAGAAGCCCTTATCAACAGTTTTCCTGGATTTAAGGTCTTTCAGGGTTTTTCTTTCAAATTTGTCCGACACTTGCTCTCTTTTGTTCAGACCATGCACCAGACTATTAAAGAGTTTGGCGCAGAGTGTTTGATTAAAAATAACATCCAACCATCCATCCATTATCTTTACCCGCTTCTACCTTTTCGAGTAATGGGGGTCACTGGCGTCCATTTCCAGCAGTCACTGTGCGAGAAGCGGGGGACACCCTGAACAAGTTGCAAGTCCTTCATAGGACACATAAAGACAAACAAGCATTCACTCTCTCACTCACACCTAGAGACAATTTAGTTACCAATCAGCCTAACATGCATGTTTTTGGTCTGTGGGAGGAAAGTGACAAAGGGCAACCTTGGCGGAGTCCAACTCTCACCAGGAACAAGCCCGACTTACTGCCAGCAATGCGGACCAGGCTCTGACACCAGTCATACAGGGACCTAACAGCCCGTATCAAAGGGCCCGGTACCCATACTCCCAGAGTACCCCCCACAGGGTTCCCTGCGGGACGCAGTTGAACGCCTTCTCAAAGTCCACAAAGCACATGTAGACCAGTTTGGCAAACTCCCACGCACCCTCCAGGATTGCATCTCTGCTTTTTGCAGATCATGTGGTCCTATTGGCTTCATCAGATCGTGATCTACAGCGTTCACTGGAGTGGTTCGCAGCCGAGTGTGACGCAGCCGGGATGAGGATCAGTTCCTCCAAATACGAGGCCATTGTCTTGAGCCGGAAAAGGGTAGAGTGCCCTCTCCGGGTCAGGGAGGAGGTCCTGCTCCAATTGGAGGAGTTCAAGTATCTTGGGGTCTTGTTCACGAATGAGGGAAAAATGGAACATGAGATCGATAGGCGGATAGGTAAAGCGTTTGCAGTGAAGCGGGAACTGTACAGGTCTGTTGTGGTGAAGAGAGAGCTGAGTCAAAAGGCGAAGCTCTCAATTTACCGATCAATCTACGTTCTCACCCTCATCTATGGTCATGAGCTTTAGGTTATGACCGAAAGAACAAGATCTCGGATACAAGCGGCCAAAATGAATTTTCTCCGCAGGGTGTCTGGGCTCTCCCTTAGAGAAAGGGTGAGAAGCTCGATCATCCGGGAGGGACTCAGAGTAGAGCCGCTGCTTCTCCACGTCGAGAGGAGCCAGTTGAGGTGGCTCGGGCATCTGTTTAGGATGCCTCCTGCACGCCTCCCTGGTGAGGTGTTCCGGACACATCCCACCGGGAGGAGGCCTAGAGGAAGACCCAGGACACGCTGGAGGGACTATGTTTCTTGGCTGGCCTGGGAACGCCTAGGGATTCCCCCGGAGGAGCTGGACCAAGTGGCTGGGGAGAGGGAAGTCTGGGCCTCCCTACTTAGGCTGCTACCCCCGCGACCCGACCCTGGATAAGTGGAAGAAAATGGATGGATGGATGGGAGGAAACTGAAGTACCCGGAAAAAACCCACACATGCACAGAGAGAAAATGCAAACTCCACCCAGAAAGGGATGTCTGAGATTGTCATCACTGTATGTTCCCATACAACGGTATAATGAGTTATTTGCATTTAATCCATCACACCTGAGATGCACCAAGGTGGAGCAGTGGGCAGCTATGTAGGCGCCCGGGGGGCAATTGGGGATTGGGTGTCTTGCTCAGAGACACCACAACATGTGGGAATGGCTGAGAGTCAAGCCGCGACTTTCTGGTCCCCAGTCGACTGCCCTACCTCTACCCCATTTCAGCCCCTGGCCAGGATTTGATCCGGCAACCTGAAATTCATAACTTAAAAATGTGTGTGTGTGGTGGATCCGTTAAAGTTCAGAAACAGAACCTGACAGATGCATCATGTACATCAAGTTCTGATCTAAAAGCTTTTTGGAATCACCTTACTGATGCTTAAATCCAATTTTACGTGTTACCTTTGGAGCATCTACATAGAGTGAATTGCATAATTAGCAATAAATGGTGTCTTTGTGACAGACTACTGGTAACAAACTGCCTAAGTGGGCACTAGGTTGTCTGTCAATGTTGTGTTTAGGCGCAAAATAGATTCATCCATTGAATTTCAAAACCTTTTTATGCCTGAATATTAAACGGCTTTACAAACGAACAAACTGTCATCACTGTACTGGACTGAAAATGCCCAGACTGAAACTGAGCAAAAAGACAGTCACTGGTAAGTGAAAAACCCATGAAAGACACAGAAAGCCCAAAGAATAACTGAAGAAAAAATTAAATAAAACTGGTTTGCTGCAAATAAAACATGAAAAAAAAAGTACATTTTAAAACTTTTGAGCCAAACTATATACCAAACTAGCAACTACGCAAGAGTATTGTTAATGTATTTTATGTTGATGTTTTAAATAAAATAAACATATGGATGACAAATAAACTGTTCCAGGCAGGTAAAAAAAATGGGTTCTCTAAACAAAGAAGTAACTCCTCTTGAGTACTTGTAACTTTTCAGACCTGTTACATCTACAACATTCTCAAAACATAATAAAAAATATATAATGGGGAAAAAAATCTATCAACATAAAATGACTCATTTGAATTTCAGTGAGAATCCAGGTTGCATTTATTAAAAACGAGAAGTTCGGCTGTAAATTTATTGCAATTGATAGAAGAGCCCAACAAAGCACCAAAACAAATAAGAGTGAAAGACTAGACAATTCAAGCAAAAAAAAAAACAACTAGCATTTCACACTGAAACACAGATATTTAAGACAAGACATGCAAGTTTAAGTTTTATATTTATTGCACACCATGCACTATATTGCCAATTATGATGCATTTTGAACAAATACAGACTCCTCTACTGAGACAATCTTCCATATTTTTTTAAAGAACATCACTGTTCTTGAAATGAATTTTACACTATACAATATAAATTACATCTAAATTGTCAAAACTGTGTTTAACTTTCAATTAACTGCTATGATAGACAATATCATCAAAGAAAAAAAGTCAAATCAAAGTTTTTAAATAAGGAGATGCATTAAAAATGCTAAAATTCTGGCTCAATTGGGCTAATAGTGGAGGTTAATTTTAGTTTGTCAGTCGTTGAATATTTTTTTACAAATGCATCCTAACTTTAAAAAGGATTATTTTGCTTGTGTGGTCTAAATCCTTGTATCCTTAAGAAAGGATACAAGGAGGCAGGGTTATAAAAATTTTCTTCAAGAGGAACACAAAATGACAACATGCTTCAAATGAATTGCCAACGATGAAAATATAACAAGTGCTTTAACATGTAAAAACACTCCCATGAAACAAAGATTGAACAATGGCATGCAGTGTTAATTTTGCACAGTATGTGGAAGGGTGAAAAAAATATATTTTAGGTCTACAAGACATAAAAAACTTTACACATTCATGCACACAATATCTTAACATGCAGACTGAATTTACTGACACAAGGAAACAAGGGAAAAATAGGAACATGCAGACTTTGAATTAGTAAAGATGAATACTATTTATATAAGTACAAAGTGCATGCAATACACTTGCTTATAAAATGTTAAAAATAAAAATGGTTTTAGTATGACAAATTTGTTCTTTACCTTCACTATCTGACATAGTGCCCTGAAGATCATCCAATAGTGCATAACCCCTACCCCTGGTTGGTTCTTCCCTTATATGTTGCTGCTGTTGTGAATCCTGCAAGGACAGGCAAGAACCAAACTGGTCCCTTGAGTCAGCTGAAATAGGGGGCAGAGGGCCAGCTGATGCCCGAGCCATGCCCATAGGCTGCCCAACAGGACTTAGTGGACTCTCTTCCTCTGAGTTCTGGGCCACTATAGGTATTCGTCCACGGCCACTTTGCACTATAGGAAGGCTTGTAGGTTTGGTGCGACCAGAAGGGGTTTGATAACTTGAAACATCTCCAGATACTTCTCCATCTCCTTTAAGCCTCAATGAAGAACTTGAGAGGTCCCTTTTGATAGATAGATCCAGGCCATAGCAAGATGTGGGCCTTGATGTGGGTCTTGAACGACTACCACTAGGATATGCCAAGTCTAAACCCAAGCTCTGGCCCAAATTTAGTGACCCAGCCAAGTTGGCCCCCAAAGTGGACCCAAGGTACTTTTGTTGCTCTGCAATATTCTTCCGAAGACCAAAGGTAATCTCATCTTGCATGAAGCGACTTGTTCTTGGGGATGCACTGGTGGAGCCCAGATAGCTGGTATAATCAGTTTCTAAGCCTCGGCTGTCTGTAATAGATGAATACTTGGAGGAGATTTTAGGATCTAGTTGCGGAGTTTTATGTTTTTGGTACAACATAGATGCTGGGAGTTGTTTAGCTGCCTGCTTCTCAAGAGTAAGTCGACTGATGCTGTACTTTTCTGTCTTGGGATATTGCCTTTGGGAGTAACTCGACATACCAGAGCTTGGGGTGTAGTAATGTTGGGAGAGGCCTGACAGTTGTTCTAAATTTTCTGTTCCACCGGTACTTCTTCTAAACTCTTGTTTGAGCTGCTGCTTCAGAAGTTTTAGTTCATAGGGTTCCTCCATTGTATCTTCTTCATCAGGGCCTTTCCCATATGTATGGAGTCTGGAGGTGGAGCCCAGGTAGTCTGTAGACCCAAGATCAGCAGCACTTCTTCGCAACAGTTTTTCTGCCTTAGCCAGCTCCCTTTCAACCAAACTATAAGATGAAGACAGTCCTGTAGAGGTCTTAGCTAGCTCTGCAGCATCTTCTAATAGCATATAACTTCGAGGTGTATGATGATCTACATCAGTGTAATAAGAATCTGAGACAGTTGACATTGGGCTATCAGCAATAGTTCCCACCTCCAAGGCTCTGAGGTCAAGATGGTTACCATATTTGTCATACTTGACGCCAAGGTAAGCTGATGATGTGGGATCAGGTTGATGGCTTATTACATCATATTTAGTTGTATCAAGCTCTGAGAGAAGGGCTGCTTGTCTGGCAGCTTTTTGCTGTAACAAAAGCATCTGGTGGTAGCTCTGCTGTTGGGAGGTAGTGAGGGAAGGAACAGAGGAGTAGATGGAATGAGATTGGTAGGACTGTGGTGTCTGATAGATTGACTGCTGGTACTGGCTTTGAGGGTATTGGTATTGAGAATATTTTCCATACTCATGCTTGGTTTGAGGTGGGACAAAATCATCAAGTTCTGCATGTGGAGCTGTCCTAGGACGTTCAAGCCCAACACCATCAATTTCCTCATCTTCACCACTTTCTCGGACACACCTAGTCTCTCGAATGTTACTAACTTCACTGTCCGACATATAATCTCTATCCTCTGCAACACTCTGTAAGTAGGCCCTTTCCCTTTTCTCTCTCTCCTTTAGAAGTACATCTTTTCTGCGGTTAATTCCCATCTCTAAGTACCTAAGCTTAGCGTCAATCTCTTTCTCCTCTTCATCTAATTCTGCTTGTCTTTTGCGGAGCTTGGAAGACTCACGCTCCACTAGATCAAGCTCACGATCTATGTCTTGTAGGATCTTAGCACGTGCCATGTTAGAATTGCGGCACATTCTCCGGCGAGCTGAACCAGTGCTGTATGCTGTCTGGCCAGTGGTTGTTGATTCTTCTTCAGAAGGTGGATTGGGGAGAGTTCTCTTGACCTTCTTTTGAGTGCCTGTTGGTGTGCTACCTGAGCCTTTTCCCTGTAAGAAAAAAAAACTTTTTAGATTTGTAGGAATTAAATTGAAAAATCCACTTTTTAAAGAAGACAGTTAACTATTTATTTCTCATAAAATGAAAAAATACATATATTCTGAACAAGGATTTTAAAAATGGTCCATATATTTAATATGTATCTATAGTGTTATCTGTAGTACATAAATTGCTTTATTGATTAAATAAAAAACTAATTTCTTATTCAGCTTTTTAGAGTTGTTGTAATATATATATGCCAACTCATTAGGGACATATATCAAAAATGTACTTTCCAGTTTAAGAAAGAAATAACTTGTATAACATTCTTTAATTTAAAGCATGTGAAGTTCACTTGTAACATGTAATAATAGTACTTACTGCATGACATTCACTATACTGGGTGCCTGATGCTGTTCTTTCGTCTCCTGTTGGACTCATGGACTTAGGGTCAGACATGGACCGCTGAATAGTTTTGAGTCCTCTGGGACTTGCTGGAGAGGTTTTAGATGGATCTGTAATGTCCCTTAGCTTTTGCGGGCTGGTGTCACCTAGTGACTTATCATAGGATACAAACTCAAGAGATTTACTAGGTGAAATACAGGGGGATATGGGGGAGTACAACACTTTGGGAGACTTAGGAGGGGCTTGAAGAGAAGAAAACTCTGGTTTAAAGTTGGAGGATTGGGCAATTTCTAAGGGAGTAAATCTTTTCTTTGGTGAAGTCCTTTCTGAGTCTGATAACTCCAATTTGGTGTCCATTCGAATATTTCCCTCTGTGTCAGTTTGAATAGAAATTTCTGTGTGGGCTTGAAAAGACATCTCTGAATGCCCACCTCTATCACCTCTGGAAGTACGTGGACGACTTTGCCGGCTTTTATTCTGAGCCTCCCATTCCTCTTGATCCTCATCATCAGTCTGCACACAGCTATCAACACTCTTTTTAGCGCTTTTCTTTTTTCTTCCTGCTGTGTAAGCCTTGCTAACAGCTTCATCCTCCTCATCTGTCTGGCACCCACTATCAGTGATCTTTCGAGAAAGTACTGTACCATCAGGCCCCAAGACAATTGCCTCCTGTAAGCCATGCCCTGGCATGTCCCCACCTGGATACATCTGACGAAACTTTTGCTCTTCAAGTTGTAAACGCAGCTGTTCTTGAAGTTTCTGTATCTGCTCAAGTTGTTGCTGCTGCTGTGCATAGGTTTCTTTTTGCAACATGAGGTGAGCCTGTCTTTCTTCTTCCTGTTGTGTCAGTATATGCTGCTTCATGGCTTGTAATTCCTCCAATTCCTTCTGAACCAGAAGCTGTTCTTGTTCACGGAACCGCTGAATCTCCTGCCGCTCCCATTCTAATTCTTCAGCCAAGCGTTGCTGCTTGAGTTTTTCCATTTCTAGCCTCTCGCGTTCTGCCTGATACTGACCATCCCCAGGAATCATGGGTGAGGAAAGAGCCTCAAGTGAAGCAGCTATAGCTTCCAGAGATGCATCAGTATAGGAGTCAAGGGTTAATGATGTTGTTGTAATGGTGGCATCAACACAAGTAGTACCTCCTTTCGAGATTTCCAGATTGAGTGGTCCATCTCCTTGTTCTTCTGATGTAGTAGTAGGAATGGTTGACAGGAAACTTTGGGATCGCGTAAGTGGAAAGTTCTGGAGGTTAGACAGGGAAGGCATGGTGTCACTTGTGTGCATACCTGCAACAGCATTATATGTTGTAGTAAATATGGATCCAGGCTGGGTAGTAATGGCATATGTAGACGGTATTGGTGCTGCAACAGATGAATAAACCACTCCATTTGATGACCTCAAAACACTGGTTGTCCCAAAAAGTGAAATGACATCACTTGTGACACTGGTTTGTGACTGCGGTGGAATTTTCATTCCTGCATAACCTCCTTTCTTCGAATAGTCAACAGCTTCACCTGTCAAAAATCAAAAGTATATTTTCAGTCCAAATATGGTGAACAATTGTTAATATTGAAGCAAGCCATGCCTTACAAAAAAAAGGTTGAATGAGAAAAAATGGCCACAGGCACATGCAAAATATTGTATGTTGGAAAAACTTAAACAAATGAAAAGTCCATGCAAAACAAATTAAAAATGGAAAACAAAAAATGCCACATTAGCCATAAATAAGTGGGGGCATTTCAAAGTGACATTTAAGTGACAGGTCGGCAATGTCACAGCACTGACCTGCATCCGATATCTTTGCTGAGGTGAGATCTACTGCACCTTCTGTTGTGGTAATGAAATTATAGCTGTTCTTACTTTTGTATAAGAATAGCCCAGCTTCTGCTAGGTTGGTGTCTGACATAGATGGTTTAATTCCACCAAACCCTCTCATGCCATAAGGTGATCGATCATATTGATAATGATCATCACGATATCCAAAGCGATCTTCAGGTAGGGGTGTGGTAGGTTGCTGAGTTGCACAACTTCCTGCAAATGGGAGTTTGTACACAACATCACAGCATACAGCTCTTTTTCCTGCTGTCAGATCCACTGGTTTGCCATCATCTGTGATTACAGCTGTAACAACATCTGCAGATGTAGCATCCACTGACACCACAGTATTGAAAGGTTTTGTTGTGCTGAGATCAACAGCTCCTGCCACTGTGGTTATCCCTGTAGTTAATCCATTGGCAATATAGCTTGCAACAGAAGTTGGTCCAATAGTAACTGGAGTAGCTTGAAAATTTCCTACACTTGTGTTTGATCCAATTGAGAGGTTAATTGGAATTTCTGTTGTAACAAGAGTGGGTGGCTGAGAATCAACTGGTCGATATATAATTTGGGAAACTGGTTCAAATGCTTTGTTTTTAGTAAGCTGAAGAGGCACTGAAGATGTTTGAGAGAGGTCTACACTGTCACATCGATGGATTGTGGCAGCACAGGTCACAATGGTGATGCTATCAGATACAATAGAAACGGTGGATGATTCAGTGCTGAGATTGACCACAGGTGATTGTACTGCACTGTTTTGACGACAGATTTCATTTGTAAAAGACTGACATCTCGAATCTGGGCTAGTGGACAGATCAACACCATTCATAAATGATTCTGAATCCACCTTTGCAGTTCTAAGATCAACAACTTCGAAGGGTTGAGAGGCCTGTTCATTCAGTGCTGCCATCTGAGGCTTAGTTTTTTCCATTGAAATTGGGACACCATTTGCCCTTGGAGCTGGTACTGGTGGTGGTGTTCTTTCATGAACAACAGAGACAGTGGTTCTTTGAACTTCTGTGGTAACCACTTGAGAAATGAGGTTAGGCATGGCAACAGGTAGCTGTGCCGAGGCTGATATGGCCTCAATTATATGACAAGAACTAGATACATGTTTTTCTGGGCTACAAATCTCTTGGCTTTCAATAGATTCTGTGACACGTGTATATGCCAGAGGCACCTTGGTTGTTTGAGGTGGAGTTGGGTGTTCATGGTGCTGTGAATATGATTGTGGTTGAGGCTGTGGTTGGTAATAACTTATAGGCTGAACTTGATGTGAATGAGCTGGTGGCTCAGGGCTGGAGGGTGCTTGAGTTGTGACACTGTCAACTGGAGAGCTGGGCTGGGATGGCAGTGTGATGACTACATATGTGTCACAAAGACTGCTGGCATATCTTGGAGAAGAAGGAGACTTTGGTGAGGGTTGAAATGTCTTTCTCTCTGAAGAGGGGCTCAGATTGAGGACTGTGTCACTATGACTAGTGGGAAGTACAGTGGGTCTTGGTGGATATGGGGCATGAGCAGGTGAAGATGGTTGTGAACCAGGCTTTGGTGCAATTGGTGGTTTAGCACCATGTCCTTGTCTGTGACTGTCTCCAATCCCTGGAGGAATGGCTGGCTTTGGAGGAACAGGAGGGGGAACATGAGGTTTATATGTTGGAGTAACTGTTTGTCTTACATGAGATCCTTGTGGCGTAGTCATAACCACTGACTCTGTTTTCTTCTGAGGAGATGGGGTCTGAGATGGGAGAGGAACAGGGGCTTTTCTGGGAAAAACAGTAGGTTTTGGTGGAGTGGGAGGTGGCAGTGGAGGTGCAACAGGTTCTTCTGATTTTTCCTGAGAGTTAGCTTTACGTAAGACATTTGGCTTTGGTGGGACAGGTGGGGCTGTTGACACTACACTGGATACACCTGGTGTGTACTGTGGAACTGTGGGCAAAGGAGATACACTAGCAATCACAGGGGCTGCTGCTCTTGGAACTGGACTTGACAAGTCTACAAGATCAACCGGAGACGCTATGACTGTTGTGTGAGGTTGCTGATCTGAAGTAGATGATGGAGAAGACTCAAAAACCTCATTCACAGGCTCAGTTGCCATTTCTAGTTTCACATCTGATACTGTATCTTTCTCCTGCTCCTTTTTACCTGCAGTTTCGTCATCAGATGATAACTCTCCTGAAGAGCACTGTGTTACCTTTAAATCTGGAATGGAATGGAGAGCCTTTTTTGGTGCAGATATTTCCACTTCTGGTTCAGGATGAGTTGGACTTGTTCCAGGTGTCAGAACTTTTTTCATTAGCTCTTCATAGGCAGTTTCAGCATCCAACAAAGGCTTTGCATCTTTGCCTAATGTTATTGTGCTACTTTTGGAGAAGTTATTTTCAGCAGGTTGTAGCACAATTTCAGGATTAGGCATTTCATTTTTTGGTTTTATGTTCTCATATTCCTGCTCAAGTTGAATGAACTCCTTTCTCTTCTTTATCATGTCTTCATAAACTTCATCAGGTGACCTTAGCTTTTTAGGCTGAACAGGAACTGTAATTTTCTCTGGTTCTTCCAAGTCAGATGAACTGTCAATAAAAGTTGAGTAGGCATAATCTTCAATAAGCATGCCTCCATAAAAAGACCCTTTTTCAGGTTGAATTTCAACTTTTTCAGTGGTTGGAGACTTAGCTCTCAGCAATATTTCTTCGTAGGCCTCATCAGCAGATTTCAGAGTTTTTTTCTGAAGCTTATCAGCAATTTGATCATCTGTTGGAGAGTGAAGCGACACTGATGTGGGCAACTGATATGTTTTCTGGACAGCTGCGATTTTTGCAGCATGAATTCCAAGCCCCTCAGAATCCGAATCGATACTTGGGGAAAAATCAGAGCAGGATGATCGTCTGATCTCCTCCATTTCTGCTTCTTGCCTTTGTTCTTCAGTTGGTGAGGCATCTTCAATAGGAGAAAGGTTGCTTGGTGGAGTCTTTGAATGTTCTCGTCTTCTCTGCGCTCGAATCTCCTCTTTGTCTTTCTTTGACTTTTTTCCTGAGCCCTTCTGTTTTTCTTGCTCCCTGAGTAGTTCTTCCTCCTCCCGTAACTCTTCTTCCTCAGAGGAGTCTTCAATAGTTGGCAGCATTTGACCAGCTTGTCTATGTTTGGCTTTCCTGTGCTGTTTACCCTCACCAGTACGAATATGGCTTGGACTACTGCTGTCACTGTCATCGTCCAGTGATGAGAGAGATGTCGGGGATGTTCCCGGAGTGAAGCTAGATGCATGCAAACTAGATGACCCCTCGCCCTTTGACCGGTCATCTGGAGAGTCTGTCAGGCTTTCTATATCAGGCTCTCCGTCAACATTGGGTATTTGTATAGGGATGCTGGTCATGTTAAGCTCCATAGTTTGGAATTTGCGAACTGCAACACTGCTTTGACGTTCTTCTTGTTTTAGTTCTTGCTCCTCCTTTTTGTCAGCATGAGGTTTATCCAATGTGACTGTAAGTTCTTTATCATCATCATCATCTGGGCTTATAGTGGTTTTCTTTGTGAGTCGTCTGGCCTTTCCTGATGTGCTCTTCTCTACAGTTTCTGTTTTCTTTTGTTCAGTTTGTTTCTTTTCATCTTCTCTGATCTTTCGTCTGACTAGATTTTCTTCGTCAGATGGGGAGGCATCCTCATTCTCACTCATTTCAATTATCTGTCTTCTGATAAAATCCTCATCCTCTCCTGAAATTGGGCTTTCTTTTTCAAGGCTTTCACTGCTGTCATCCAAAGAATCTGCCTTGACATCCATTGGCACAAGGAGCTTTTTCTTTGTAGTATTAATATCATTCTTCAAAAGTCCTTTATCCTCTTCCGAACTTGGAGAATCAGGTGAGAGGGGGAAAACCTCTAATTTACGCCTGGTCTTTAGAGTACCAGTTTGCATGTTCTCTTCTTGTGTGCTCTCCTGGGCTTCAAGAATTGGAAGGACAGTCTTTTCCAGTTTTGACAAGTCTGAGGGGCTGGTGGGACTTCCTTCCTTGATTCTTACTTCATTTTCTTCAGGATCTTTGAATGTTTCCATTGTTTCAATCTGATGAATTGAAAAACAAACAAGTTTTTGTCACTTCATGCAATGAAAATGGCAATATTTTCAGAAGTTTTCTTTTATCTTAATCTACACCTAAATACATCTGTTATATCAAATTATTAAAAAGGAGGAGTAATGATACAAACTATTGCTACATTAGCTAAATACTAGTGTCACCTTAGAGATTTCTTCACTGTGCTTTTCCAGAGGCTTAGCTTTAGATTCCATTATCTTCGTGTCTTCATTTGAGCCTTCATCCTGCTCACCAACTACAGACTGGATTTTAGGTTTTGCTACAGGAACCAACACAGGTGGACCCTCTGATACTTCACCCTTCTTTGATGCTGTGCTTACTCCTACATCAAATGAAAGGGTGCCATCTTTGTGGCACTCTGCACTTGCCTCAGATACTGAAATAAATTCCAGACTGTTGCCAACAACAAACTGTGACTCATCCTCTTTCTTGTCATTTTCTGCTTCCCTATCCTTGATTGACAGTTCAGAATTTTTCTGAGGTTCACTTTGATTTTCAGCAGCACTGCTTGTCGTTTGTGAACCAGCCTCCACCTCATCCAAGGAGCGTTTCTCCTCACAGGTTTTATCTCTGAGTATTGTCTCACTAAGAACAGCTGAGGCTGATGCAAGTTTTATACTTCTAACTGGCACCTCAACATCTTCTTGCTCTCTTGGTGTGAGAGGTGGGGGGTCAGAGATAACCACTGCTTTGTCAAGCTTCTCCTCCAACTTTAACATTGGCTCTTCAAAGGTTTGTTGCTCATTTTTTAGTAAAGCTTTGTCTTTTCTAACCAAAGACACATTTTCCACATGAGTGTTTTCAGTAGGCTCAGACTTTGTTTCTGGTTGTACCTTTTGATTTAGCTGAACGACATCTTTTGTTGGGATTTGCGCTGGGACACCCACAACTGGCTCTCCTGACTTTTCTAACTCACTTCTCTCCATTTGAAGCCAACTATTTGCTGTATCAGAACTTGCAACTGCTTCACTTGTACCTGCTTTATTATCGCCTATATCCAGGAGTTTAGGATCATTTGCATTTCTAATTGTGTTTTGTTCAATTCCCCCCTCTTCTAAATTATCCCCATTATTAGCTATTGTAGCTTCTACATTTAGTTTACAGTGAAGTGATCCTTCTTTATCAGCCCCCCTGGACATTTTCTCTTTAACTGTTTCCCTATTATCAATAACTTTCAAGGGATCTGTATTTTTAAAAGTATTCTCTTCCTGTGCTTTCTCAAGAACTTCAGAATCTTCCTCTAACAGAACCACACCAGGAGTTATTTTTACTATATCATGTGTTGTAGGTATCATCTCTTTCTCTGTGGGCTTGTTTCCCATTTCATTTGTCTGAAGTACCACTTCTGAAGTTAAGACAGAATGCTCTTTTGCCACTGCTGAACAACTTTCAGATTCTGCACACATTGTTGTTTTTGGTTGGAATTGTTGATCAGACCTGTTACATTCAGGGGTGTCAGCTTTGTCAACGAAGCCTACAGAAGATACTGGTTCAACTACTATCACATTTCCAGTTATTGTATTTGCAATATCTGATTTAACACTATCTGCCTCAAGTTTTTCACTGATGCAGGTTTGGTTGATATCTAATGCATTATCGGATGGTATTTGCCCTGCTGAGGAGACTTGGGGTTTTGCTATTAGGGGTTCCTCAAGTGTCTGCTCAGCTGAATTTGTTGTCTCTTCTGGGAGCTTTTCTGGACTTGGCTCTACTTTCTCATGATTTGTTGAGGGAGTTCCACCCTCACTTTGAGTAATCTCAATATCTTGTTTAGTATCTACCTTTATGCAAGCTGTTGTTTTGTCTAAATCTGTGTTGGTCAATTGTGTTTGTTTGTTACCTTCCACAAAGGGGAAGCAGTTCTCTGCCATATTCTCTGAGCTACTCTGTAGCTGCTGAACGGCTTGGACTTTACTGACAATAGTTCTCTGTTCTTGTTGCTTGACACTGGAAATCTCTGTGTCATGAAAGGAATGATCTGCTGCCGTCTCAGGGCTACTCTGTTGTTGCTCAACTGCTGGGATTTCACTAACAGTAGATTTCTGTGTTTGTTGGTTACTGTCCGATGGTTCTGTGTCTGTTTTATTCTCAGAATGGATCTGTTGGTGCTCAACTGGGTTACTTTCAGCTAAACTCTCTGACTTTAAGGGTTTGTTTTCAAAATGATTGTCAGTCACTGACCCATCTACTGACGGCTGCATTGATTCTTCTGACTGTGGTGCTTCCTGTGAGCTGTTCTCAAGAGAAGAGGGCATGTGTTCAGGTGAAATAGGTGCACTATCAAGTGTGGTTTGGGGTGCTACCTTGGTCTTGGAAGCTGGTGGAGACGGGTCTACTGCTTCTACTACAGGTTTGCTATCTATAGCAGCAGGGGCAGGGGAGGAGAAGGGAGCAGGAGGAGCAGGTGATTGTTTTAATGTGGAAGCCGTAGATGGAGGTGGTACATCTTCCAGCTGGCTTGACATGGCTTTTTTGGTCTGACAATTCAGGCAAAGCCATTCTTTCTGTAAAATAAATAGATAAAAACACAAGATAAGAACACCTTTTCAATAACTGCATAACTTGACATGACACTAGTTAGAATTTCACATAAATCAATATAATTAAAATGTATTTTCTTTGTCCTGACTGTATGCAAAGTCTCATTTTGACAAGTCAGGCTGTGATGGTGTATCTTTGTCTATTTTAGGAAAAGCTTCTATATCAGTGGGGCTCGAGACAGGCACATTCATAATGCATGGTAATGGGGTAGAGGTTTACCAAAGCTCTTCTGAAGAAGCTGTGCAGATATTTTATGTTGCAAAAACATAGCAGGAACTGTTTGGGTTTATATGATTGTATATCACATATGCAAATCATGTACATAGAGATGTTTTAGAATGCACACGCACACACATATACTGTGTTAACTTCAGAATGCTTACATAACTATGTCAAACATTTAAAAAAATCACATCTGTGCAACAATGTAAGCTTTAGCTGCTCCTCGGTTCCAGTTTCTTATTGGAGTTGATGCTAAAAACCTAATAAAAGCTAATCTTTATAATATGTTTATTGCTATTTAATTGTTTTTAAGAATAATTATTTAATACAATTTCCTCACCAACACCATATGGTATGTAGTCTTGGTTGTATTATATAAAAAAATGTTCATGTCACAACTATTTCATCATTAATTTATGCTCCCATGTACCTATACAGAGAGTATCTACTGTAAACTGAACGCCCTCCTGTGTGTCCTGTGTCAATAGCTGGAGCTATTTTTAGGGTTTATCATCTTGTGCTTTTATTTCTAAAGTGGAAAAAAGATAAATAATCAATATGTTGGGATTGATAAGCAAATTAAATAGTGCAAACACACCCAAACAGATGTGCAGACATGAATGGAAACCTCATTCAAACATAAACACAGGTCACATTTCGTCCTTTTCTCTCTGTAGCCACACTTCTTATGGAGAGAGAACAACAGCAAGACAAGAAGTGAGTTAAAGACAATGACAGGGCTCATAGGAGCAGCTCGGTCTGATTAAGTAATGGGCGTTGGAAAGTAGAGATGGTGCGAGATGGGGAGATGGTCGCTGATAGGAAATGCTGAAAACTCACTCAGAGCCACATCTGTGGTTGTCATCAATGACATTATCAAGAATTCACAATAGGCAGACCCTTCAAATCCACTTTATCAGTCTGCTTCTTTAAGCCACAGAAGAAAAGAGAAGTAACTGTTACCTCTTCTATTTTATTGCAGCTTTGTATTTAATCTCTTAACCTTTAGCTTTTTGTTGACTCTACAAAAACACAAAATTTTCATCATCCACCCATTCACACAAATGCTGCACTTTTTGTTTTATATGATAACTTTTTGCATGAAGTGCTTTTTACTCACAACATAGCACAAATACTTGGGTGAAATGCATACAAGTCATACAACAAAATCTATATTAGAACTTGTTGAACGAATGCATCCCACCCACAGACCTTCATGCACGAGTGTTAAATTAAGAACATATTGTGTTCATAACTGATTTGGTCAAACCTTGAAAATAACATTTTGCACAATCTTATGCAACATCACGAGATGTCATGCTCCGAGTACGTTTTGCAAATGACTGATTCTTTAACCTCACCAAATTTTATTACACACTATAATCCTATTTTAGTTTTCCTACTGCATATCCCTTCCGTTTCTCTTTCTGTCTGCATGCACATAGATGATACATGCAGTAACAGGAATGTCACTCACTCACGTAACCAAGGAGACCGGCACCAAAGAGTTGACACATACTAACCCCCACAGAAATGAATCTGTGATGGCGCTGGTGACGTCCATTTGGTCATACAAAAGGTTTGAAAAACTATCAGCACTTCATTCATTCTTTCTACGTCTCAAACCAGCAGACATACGTCAGAGAAAAACCCGACAAGATTCAGAGAAGAAAGTTTGAACAGGGCTCCTTCTGAGGCCACAAAGAGAAGAAAATTAGAAAACAGCAGAATGAGTTACTCATGTTAGGTTAATGTTTCCTATAGGGAGTTGAAGTGCTGTAAAGGTCGAAGCTGCTGCTTGATTAAGACGAGACATTCTGTGGAGGATTTACTTTAGACAAGGCTATAGGTACAGAGTAGGTCAAATATTTATTTTTAACTCTCAACACTGATAGCACTTAATTAATATTAGAATTTCTCCCCAAATCGTTCCATAAAGCCGTACTTTAATAAGAGCATCCCGCAGACAGTGGAAAAAATGTGTACAAAGAAAGGTGAAACTGACAATGTGCGAAAAAGTAAAAAAAAAAAAAATGATAATGGTTTCAAAGACAACTAATAAGCAGCTTAAAGAACACCATTTTTGAAAAAAAGTTGTGAAAAATGTATAATAAACATGCAATGATTTTCAAATCTCATAAACCCAAACTTTATTCACAATGGAGTAAACATTAAATGTTTAAACTATGAAACTACCATTTGTAGGAAGTAATGTTAATTGGGAATTTGATGCCAGGAATACAACAACTGTTGGGACATGGCTATGTTTACCACTGTGAAGCCTCCCCTCTTCTTTTAATAACAGTCTGTAAACATGTAGGAACTGAGATCGGCTGCTGGACGTTCTGAAGTGGAATTTAGCCCCATTGTTTTTTGATGTGGGACTCTTCCTGTTTCACTTTCCTGCCTTATGTGGCAGGTTTGTTTGTTTCATGATCTGTCAAATGCTTTCTATTGATGAGAGGTCTGGACTGCAGTCAGGCTGGTTCAGCACCTGAATACTTCCATTACAAAACTACATTACATACATACTCCAATACATATTCTGTATGGGAGTATATGTTGTTCTTAAACCTATATATAATTTTCTGCATTGATGACAACTTTCAAAATATGCAAGCTGCTGTGTAATAGGCATAAATGCACCTCTATACCATCAGAGAGGCAGGCTTTTGAACTATGCACTAATAACGGGCCAAACAGTTCATCTCCTCTTTAGCACAGAGGACATGTTCATGGTTTCCAAAGATAATTAAAAATTTTGACCCTAGGACAGTTTTTCACTTTGCCTAGACCAAAGAAGAATAAATGTTTATGGATAGTGTTCTTGTATGGTTTGTTTTTACATGATAGAGCTTTAACCAGCATGTGTGGGTGGTTGTGTGTGTTTACAGACGATGATTTGTGGAAGTGTTTCTGAGCCCATACAGTGATGTCCAGAACACAATCAGTCCTGTTTGAGGTCTCAAAGATTGCAGACATCCAATAAACTTATTATTAACTTAATTATTATCCAAACTTTCATCCTTTTCCTGTGCTTGCTTATCTCTTCAGGTTCTTATTATTTTTGTTGCTGTTATGAACTGTAGATGATGGGAGACTCACGGTCTTCCAATTTTCCATTGAGGAACATTATTCTGAAATGGTCCAATTATTTGTAGATGCAGTGGTTTATACAAACTGGTTAACAACTGCCCAACTTTACTTCTGGGAGGTTCAGCCTCTCTAAGATGCTTTAATAGTTTTCTTACTGACTTATTCCCATTTAACTTAAATGTTTATTTTCTTGTTAATACTATGTACTTTGACAGACTTTTGTGGCCCCTGCCCCCGCTTCTTTGAGATGTGTTGCGGTTATCAAATTCAAAATTAGCTTGTTTTTTCTGAGAAATTGTAACAAAATAACAACTATTGAAACATAAATGCTCACTATGTTCCATTGTAAATAAAATATGAGTCTATGAGGTTTGCAAGTCACTGCATTCTAGTTGTATCTACAGTTTACACGACAACATACTTTTTCTTTTTCAGAACTAGAGTTGGAGAAGATTAGGAAAAGGTGAGGAAAAGAAACAGAGAAAACTAAAATCAGGAGAGAGAAAGCAGCATTATGTGGCGAAGTAAATCATTGGAGGAGCTTAACCAGCACTGGAAAAAGCTTAGCACCAACTACAACCACAAAGCTTCACATTAACACATTGCAAATCAACTAAGAAGACAGGACAAACTGCAGAACATGGTGGCATCAAAGTATGACCTTAAACGTTACAGCAAATTCAGAAAACGCCGTTGGTGACATTTATACACTTATGGGCTCAAAGTCCTGCCTCAGTTCCACGTTGACGCCTGCTGATTCACCAGCGTTACTCTGCAACTGAGCAACATTTCATTACTACCTGCAAACCTTTCAGAAACAGTTATTTTTTTCTGAAAGTTAGATAGTATTTGTATCAAACTCATCATTATTAGCTCAGTGAAACAGGCGAAATATCCTCCAGACTTTGAACATCTACATGAACAGTGATAGTCATTAAAAAAAGGCTGAATATGTCTTTGTTTTAACATCCTGTTAGATTAGGATGTGTTGAGGATTTTAGATGTACATCTAATGATTACTTTCTGAAAGCTTCGATAAAATCTAATATTTTACTAATGCCACAGACAAATGAACACACACAAGCACAGAAAAGCATTGCCTTTCTCCTTCAGTGGGGACCAATACTAATAATAGAAGTTTGCCTCTTAAACGTCCGGTTTCCATAACATCATATGGATATTGTGGTTTTCACTCCATTGATAAATTAAATGCATCAAACATTTTTGAAAAGCAGCATCCTCCTGCATCATGGTTCAAATGTCCTTTCAGTCCTGAAGCTTTTGATGCAACTAAAGTGTGCAAGTCGCTGCCCTTCTTCTCACTGATGAGTGGCCAAATTAATTAGAATGCACCAGACTGAGGGTGGGACGTTACAGCATCAGCTCCGTTCCAAGCCAAAAAAGATCTTTGTCTTAATAAATGCTGTTGTAGATGTTCTCACATCAGGCAAGTTTTTTTTTTCATCTAGATATATTGATCAAGGTGAAAAATCAGAAAACTAAATGTTACCCAAGCAGGGCATTGTTGGCTTGTTTCTCCTAAAAAAAAGTAATAAAATAAAATAAACTTGCCAAAAATGTGCTTCCTGCTCCTCCTTCTCTGCTCTGGTGAAAACCAAAGGCCCACCCCATTGCATGCTGGTCC